ACCCCCTCAAGTAGATCTAATAACTCTTTCTTCTCTTCAACTTCCCACCCAAAAAGCTCTCTTCTCCATTAATTTTAACTTCCAACACCAAATTCTCTACTGTACTTCTTCTCTCTATTGACATGTATTTCAACCTAAGAAAGCTTTCTCCCAAAGTATAATACTCTAGCCGTATATTCTTTCCTAAATCTAACTCTATTACCCTCCCACAACTCCCACAACTCCCACACGAAACCATGACCTATCACCTCCTTAGAATCCTCTACCTCCCTGCCTATTTGACACTATATCTCCCCACACTTTGGACATCCTCCTTCTCCTTACACATCCCACCCCTACAGCCCTCTAACTCCATAATATTTTTCCATAAACCCCCAACTTCTTCTTCAAATCTCACCCACCATTTACCTAATAAAGTTAAATCTCTGATTCTAAGATTGCTTACCCCAAAGTCACCCTTAGTCCTTCCCCAAACACACTTTTTCCTATGATACCCAATGAGGATTGAATAGCACTCTTCATTTCTTCCATTTCTCCTCCCATCAAATTTACTTAATTTATTAATTAATTTAGTGTGAAGTGTTCAATTTGTTTTCATTTTAAAGAATGGCTATGGATTTCTCAACTACTCTATTAATCACCTTTTGTTTTTGTATTTGTTTTGTAGGAATTCACGTTATGTTGGAAAGTATGGTATAAAACCTAAACCAGCGTACCATGAGTTATTAAGTTTATGTTGATTTATTTTAAAATTTATGGTATATATGGTTACTAATTAACTTAATCAAATTTCATTTTTTTAAGTGAGAATTCTTTTATGGTGTGGTATTATTGACTATAGTTGTGATTTTAATTTAAAAAATAAATAAAGTTTATTCGTTAAAATTTTGCATTACTGGACATATAGTAACTAATGTTTGATGATTTTGTTGGTAAATCAAGATTTATTCAAATTAATTTCAAACATTTCAATTAAAGATATATATATATATATATATAACATGTTACTTTTGCAGCTATGATCTTATAATGGATGAATGATTGCAATTTAATAATTTTTCCCTATTTTTGAATTGTTTACCTTATGGTAAAAAAATTATTCGAGATGTATGGAATGAATGTGAAAATTTTGTTCAAATGTTGTTGGAATTGAGGTTAATGATGATGGAATTGTGAAAATAGAATAAAAATGTTAATGGGATTGTGAAATATTTGTTTAGGTGTTTAGGGAATATATAGGAAAATGTAGAAATAATAGTTTGAGGAAGAGTTTCTGATTTTTTTTTTCAAGCTCAAAAAGATATCATTATAACCCACCTCAATGAACTTAGGTGGAGAATTTCTCCAGTTATTTGAATTCATACATATGTAGCATTATATATCACGTCAGTAAATTTAGGCAGAAAATTTTTACATTGATTTGAATTCATATGTAGCAATTTAGGTGGAGAATTTCTCCAATTATTTGAATTCATATATACGTAGCATTATATATCACGTCGGTGAATTTATTCAGACAATTTTTACATTGATTTGAATTCATGTGCAGCACTTTATACCACATCGGTAAATTTAGGCAAGAAATTTATGCACTAATTTGAATTCATATGTAGCATTGTGGACCATGTTGCTAATAGTCCACATCCTCTAGTAGTGCCAGCTATTAGTCCATCCATGAAAAAAAATATAGTTGAATGACACAATGTCTTAACCCATTAAAATTAAATTGAAAACTAATAAGAAACACAGATTTTCAAGTCGATCTATAATAAAATGTAATAATGCTTGTGAAAAGATTTAAATATCTTCCTTTTTTATCAACAAGATTTAAATTTTATTTTAGTTATTCATTAGAGTATTTAAACAATTTTGTCAAGTATTTTTGCACTTTTTTCTTATATGTAGACTTGAAAAACGTTTTCCAAAATTAATGACTATAGTCAAATTTCT